GTGGCCTAATTCCCTGGTTGTAGGACTTCCATTCAGCCAGATTTGAGGCAGTTCTGAATGATGGTTGTTCAATAGTTTAGCTGTAATTTTCATGTGGTTGTGGGAGGAGGAGAGTACTGAGTTTACCTATGCCGCCATCTTGACCAGATGGAAGTCTCTTCGCTATTCTTATTCTTGAAGTTTTTCTGTATATTTGAAATTATTTCCAAATAAAAGTTTTTTAAAAATGTAAAAAGTAAATTTAAAATTCCTTCAACTCTCTCTCCAGGTACTGCTTTCATCATCTGCCGCCTGTTCATAGTTGTGTCTTAAAAAAGTGATCACATTTCCCTCATGCCTCATCTACTCAATCTGATTTCTTCTACTCAGATCACGCTGCATTAGCTTCTTCTGGGACAGGTGCCAACTTCCCAGGCCACTGTCCCTTGGGTGTTCCTAGCCCCATTCCACCTAGAACTTTTCCTCTCCTGGCTCTACATACTCTTTCTGGGTAGCTCCATGTATAAACATGGCTCCTATCACTCCTACAAGGTATCTTGCGCAGCATTATCTCTGTCCCAGACCTCCCTCTTCAATGATNTTCCTCTCCTGACTCTACATACTCTTTCTGGGTAGCTCCATGTATAAACATGGCTCCTATCACTCCTACAAGGTATCTTGCGCAGCATTATCTCTGTCCCAGACCTCCCTCTTCAATGATAGACCCTCATATCCATACCTGTCCTCCCCTCATTTGCCTAAATCATAAGTGCACTCTTCTCTCTTTCACCCCTCCGCATCTGATAAAGCCCCTAAGACCAGCTGATTCTACTGTGTACACAGTTCCCAAGTCCCCATGACCAACTTCATTTCCACTGCCGAGGCCTTAGTTTAGGCCCTCCTAAATTCCCTTCTGAACTTCTCCTGTAGGCTCCCTACCTTCATTCTTACTCCTATCTAATTCTTTCTCCAACAGCTGTCAAGAGTTCTGAAAAATGTACAACTGGTCATTCCCCAATGCCAAATCTTTGCAGGCTAGTTGGTGTGGCACTTGAAGCCTTTTGCATATGGCCACTTGGAGTGACGTGCTAGACACTAAATGGGAAATAATCCCTCTCTGCTACTGCACTCACTGGTCCTTGACCCCTTCCCTTGACTATCTCTGACAGGTTAATTCTTAATCCCCTCATGTCCTCTGGGATTCCCATTTAATTAGTTGCTGACTAACCTGGTGTATATGATCACAAATACCTCACTGCTTAGCCCTCTGACCCAAGCAGAATCCAGCAGTCTTCTTGTTCCAGCATTATTTAACCTTCTCTGTTTTGGTGGGAACACAGAGTTCCATCACTCAGTGTCGTTCACCCAATCCTCTTAATGACTGAAATCAAAACACATCAATATAAATGTGCATCTTCATTGAAAAGAGATAGTTTGCAATGAGATTCATATTAATCAATACTGAGACTAAGAAAAGGTAAAAAATATAGGCAGAAAAGCAATGAGACATATAAAACTAGCACTAAAGTAAATGCTGACAATATGGCTTGAATGTTTGTGTCCCTCCCAAAATTCCTGTTAAAATCCTAACCCCCAGAGATGAAGGCATTAAGAAAGAAACTTGTGCCCGGCCAGGCATGGCTCAGCGGTTGAGCGTCGACCTAGGATCCAGGCGATCGGGGTTCAATTCCCGGTCAGGGCACATGCCTGGGTTGTGGGCTCGATCAATGACTCTCTCATCATTGATGTTTCTATCTCTCTCTCTCCCTCTCCTTTCCTCTGTCTGAAATCAATAAAGATATATTTAAAAAAAAAAAAAAAAGAAAGAAACTTGTGGGAGACGCTTAGGACATGAGGATGGCGCCCTCATGAATGAGATTATTGTTCTTATAAAAGAGGCCCTAGGAAATTCCCTTGGTGCCTTGATCCTGGGCTTCCCAACCGCCAGAGCTGTGAGAAATAAATTTCTGTTATTTATAAGCCATCAAATCTGAGGCATTTTATTATAGCTAAGGACTAAGCTCCTAAAATGCAAAAGCAATGAAGAGAATAACATATTATTATAAACAATACTGAAGATGCATTCTAGTATGTTATCTCTGGGGCTGAGTGTTGCCTACGGAACTTAGATTATGATCCATATCCTGCTTTTCCTTAGGCACTGGACTAGTCCCAGGGATTCAAAGATGGATAAGACCAAGGCCTGTTATCAAGGAGCTTGCAGACTATGTGAATCTGGCAGAAAAATAACTAACACATGATAAAAATGGTAGAGGCATACCGGGGGGGCGGGGGGCAAAAGGGTTGAAGCTGCTTTGAAGGACTAGGAAGAGCTTTGGGAAAAGAGTAGTTCCAGCAGAGGGAACTACCCTCAGGACATCTGGAGCAGAGAGCATAGGAACAAATGGAGACATGGGCAAAAACAGTGGGAGAATGGGATAAATGAAAACTGGGACTAAGGAGTGAGAGAAGTGATATGCAGAGCGGAAGAGAGAAATATGGTTTGTGCTTTAGTTATTACTGCACTTACAGTTAACAAATATCAGAAAGATCGTTAACATGAGTTAGCTCTATTGCTTAAAAGTGGAAAAAAGGATTCAAGGTGATTTTTCCTCAAAGTAAAATGTGAAACAGAACATTCTCATACCTGGTAGCGGAGAAGAAATTTCTAGTCATCCTTGGGAATAAGTTAAGCAAAGGAGATTCTGAAAGGGAGGCTGAGAGATTTTCTGAAGCTAAAAGAGCAAAGACTGGCTTGAAGAGAATTGTTTACAGAATTAGTTTATTAAGCTACTATAAGACTAAATATCATAAACACAAGTCTCAGGAGAGAAAAACTGCTTGGTTTTACTTTTTTAAAAAACACATGAGGTATAATAATGATTTGGTATATTTAGAGATCTACCAATAACTCGCTTAACTGATGTAAAATAAAAATTATTTTATGATTGTTTAATCACTTCTTTAAAAACCCTTGCTCAGATATGCCATAGTACATCATTGAATGCACCACTATGAGGTAACAAAAACTGGGGGGAAAAACAATGTCCCTGACTAGACCTACAAAATTGTAGAAAATCCAAAACATCCAAATGATGGTTAACCCAATACCACATACCTGTAGTTGTATAAAAAAAAATAACAAACAGCCCGACCGGGTATGGTTCAGCGGTTGAGCATTGACCTAGGATCCAGGCGATGTGGTTTCGATTCCTGGTCAGGGCACATGCTTGAGTTGCGGGCTGGATCCCCAGTCGGGGGCATGCAGGAGGCAGCCAATCAATGACTCTCTCATCATTGATGTTTCTATCTCTCTCCCTCTCCTTTCCTTTCTCTGAAATCAATAAAGATCTTTTAAAAAATAATAAAAATTTTAGAAAAATAACAAACAGCCTGGCCAGTGTGGTTCAGCCGTGGAGCATCGACCTATGATCCAGGAGATCCCAGTTCTATTCCCTCTGTGTTCTGATGATTTCTAAGATAAAGTGAAAGCAGCAAGGGGCAGAACTTTTCTTTTTTAAAAATATATCTTTATTAACTTCAGGGAGAGGAAGGGAGAGGGAGAGAGAGAGAAACATCAATGATGTACNTAAAATATATCTTTATTAACTTCAGGGAGAGGAAGGGAGAGGGGGAGAGAGAGAAACATCAATGATGAGAGNCACCGGTGGGCTACCTCCTGCACGCCCCCTACTGGGAATCGAGCCCGCAACCCAGGCATGTGCCCTGACCAGAGTCCAACAGAGATCTCCTGGATCACAGGTTAGATGCTCAACCACTGAGCCACGCCGGGAGGCAAGGAGCAGAACTTTTAAGAGTGACCTACCATCCGTATGGGGAAAAANCCCGTGGGCTACCTCCTGCACGCCCCCTACTGGGAATGGAGCCCGCAACCCAGGCATGTGCCCTGACCAGAGTCCAACGGAGATCTCCTGGATCACAGGTTAGATGCTCAACCACTGAGCCACGCCCGGCGGCAAGGAGCAGAACTTTTAAGAGTGACCTACCATCCGTATGGGGAAAAAGGAGAACTAGCTACATTCACATTTGCAAATATTTGCATAAATAAATTCTGCAAGGATACATTCAAATAAACTAAATGTGATTATTTGATAAGGTTGGGCCTAGGAAAATGGCTGAACGGGAAGATACCTTTTCGTTAATAACTTTCTATTTTAAATATCTGATCCATATATTATATATTTAAACATTAAAAAATAAAAATAAAAAAAACTATAAACCCCTGTGCTTTCAAAAAGAAAACGCCTACTGGCCAACTAGTCCAAACGTCTTAAAGCAGCACACCCAGCCCTGGCACCCCATTCATCTTCCACATCTCAACGCCCGTGTTCCCGAAGGCCTTCTCCCTAGTCAAACTCTAGTTTTTGAGCGAGACAGGCCGCCTCCTCCAGGCACACACCTGTCTGTATACAGGTGAGCTTCCCCGGAAAAGGGCCCGGGAGCACTCACCTGCACAGAGCCTGGAGTCTCAACATCATCCCTCCATCATAGAAAAAAAGGGGGGAGGAGAGAGGGAGAAGGAATCAGATCACCCCCAGGGGTCCCTGTAACGCCCGTATTCACTGTCAAGTCCCAGGGCCAAAGTTAACTGCAACGGGGGCACGACACAGGGGCGGAGAGTGGGGATGGGGTGGCGATTTTAAAGCGCTAATTTTCCCGATTCCCCTCCCGCCCGAGACAGCATGAAGAGTTGAGAAACATGAGAGCGGGGCGTTTCTCTGGGCGCGGGGCACCCCAACCTGGCCGCGGCCGTTCGAACGGCCGGAGCTGGCGCCCTCCGGGAGTCCAGTATGTTCCAGCGGCGCCCCACGCCCCTCCGCCAGCCCGGGGTCTCCCCTCCCCTCCGCTTCCCCAGACGCGCCTCCTGAGGAGCGGGGGTAGAGCAGGCTTCCTCCCAGACCCCGCCCGCCACGCGAGGGGCAGCAGGACCGGCCCAGAAAGGAAAGGCGGGACAGGCGAGGACCGGGGGCGGAAGCGCGGGCGGCCGCGTACTCACGTACTGGCTGAGGCAGCGCCGCGGGAGTCCGGCCGCCGGCGGGACAAAAGCGCGGACGCCCCGGCCGGAAGAGCCCGCGCCGGCTCCGAGGCACTTCCGAGTCCTCTCTGGGAAGCTGGAAGACTGACTCGATGGTAAGCCCTGCGCTCGGGCACGTGACCCGCGGTGCGCAGGGGAGGGCGCGCTCTGCCGGGTGTAAGTGCCGGCCCGCGGCGCAGGCACTGTGGGCGAAGCTTCTGTCTCGCGGACTTGACATTCCGCGGTGGGGCGGACAAAGCAAATGAGTGGCTCGGTGGACTAGACACCTAACGACCTATTACCTAAACACGGACTCCTTACAGACGGAGGCCGCGGGTCGCCCCTCCTTC